AAATATTGGTTCAGCACCAAGGGGTGGAACTGACAAAGAGCAGGGCTGTGAATAAGAGGTTTGAAATCAGAAAGAGATGGAGAACTGAAGAGGCCAGAGCAGCTGTTGCCATTTCAGCTGCAACTTGGTCTAGGTATTACTCCCATATGTTTGTGCTGGGGATGTTTGAATGGAGCTGATTCTTCTATGTCTTGAAGCTGATGTCTTGATTTTTAAAAACCCTGAATTCCCAGGGACACTTGCACTTTTCAATTCTACAAGCAACATCTGTATTGGTGGTGTTGCTGAGGGGTCCAACTGTGATAAAAAAAGCAGCTCCTTACTGTCTTTAACAATTACCTTAAACACCAAGCCCCACGGCAGTCCCTTAACAGGCTCTGGGATGTGGAGGTAACGAAGGTAGCTAGTTCTGGTAACTTCATCGTTAGAAAAATATATTTTACTGTTTATTTCAGCATATATCATTTTTCTTCAAAACTTTTTAAACCTTTTCAGACCGTGGATAAATGAGTCAGTGGATACGGATCCCGTGGAGCAGTACTTGTTGTGCAGAGGCTAAAAGGAAAGAAAGAAGGAGGAGTACTCAGTTTAAGAAGCAACGTTTGGAGGGAAATATAGGGCCGCAGAGCTGAGAAAACTTTCCCTATCTTTCAGGAGCAGGAGAACTTTTCAAGATCCTGGCAATCTGGAGAACGGCACAAATGATTTTTGTCTTGAAACCTGGTAAAGAACCACAGATCCAAAACAAATTTTAAGGCCAGTCTCACTACTTTATCACCTTTATAATGTCCTGGAAAGGAGGATCGTGAACTGGCTGGACATGGTGGAACCCCACCCCTCAGTCCACAGCAGCTCAGCTGTAGACCTGGGAAGAATTGTGCACAGCACAAATCCCTACGTTAAACACAACCTCCTGAGGATGATTTTGAAACTAGGAAGAGCACAGGGCTGGCTTGGGTATCCTATGACCCTGTTCATCATTTTGTTGACCTTTCGGATGCCCACGACCATTATGTTCATCGGCAACAGTAATGCTATGCGTTAGCATTTCTGCACATTTTTCATAATACAGTAGTGCCCCGAATGACTAAAAATCCGAAGGACAGTGACTTTTTTGCGATCACTATAGTGATCGCAAAATGATATTTCCTATGGAGTTTTTTCGTGTGACGATGATTAAGTCCGTGCTTTGCGAACCGTTTGTTTGCAAAACGATGATTTTTTCCGATGATCGTCAGCTTCTCAAAATGGCTCCCCGTTGTTTTCTGGACTGATTTTCGTGCGACGGTGATTAAAAACAGCTGATCGGCGGTCCCAAAATGGCTTCTCTATGGAGGATCTTCGCTGGACAACAAGGTAATTTCCCCATTGGAACGCATTAAACCGGGTTTCAATGCATTCCAATAGGGATTTTTTTTTTTTGCACGACAACAATTTCACTGTACAGCAATTTTCCTGGAATGGATTATCGTTGTCATGTGGGGCACAACTGCACAAACAAGGATGGTAAGTTAACTAATAGCAACCCTTTTACATAATCCCAGATTTTTCATTCACATTCAAGTTGAACGCCACTGACGGACAAACGGTTTGACTCCGGCCACTGTACGGGCTTCTCTTTCGTTTAGCGTAACCCCCGTGTTTCCCGACCTTGTTCAAGCCATGACCCTCTTTCA